AAACTTTTATTCCACAAGCGCTTCTCTCAAGGTGGTGTTGCCCTTTAACTTGAAATGTTCGTTTAAATATGATATGTTTATTGATTCTGCAACTTTGTATTCACAAGGTTTGGATCTCTTTTTTTCAGTAACATGTAACCATCAAGAAACAGAACATTCTGCCTCAGCTCCACACTCAGAAGAAAATAATCAAAGTGAGTTATCTATTAATTATTATCTGTCAAATAAATTTATTTTAAAATGAATAATTATAATTGCTTTCAGCTTTTAGCTTTTATCATGTTTAATTGAAAGTATTCTGTTCTAAAAAAAATTGTGAAATTTTAATATATGTATTTTTTTCATACTAGGTTCTAAAGAAAGTTCATACAATGCTCTTCCTGAGGATGAAATATACAAATTCAAAACTCTCCTGTGTATCCTAGACCGTTTCTCCATTTCATTTGAAGGCTATCATCAACTTTCACAGGTTAGAATCCATGTAATTGGAAACATGAAGACACAGAGCATTTAATACATATTTTACTCACCAACTTGCTCCTCATAAGTTGTCACATTGGCAACGGCCAATAGTTTCTGGATAGCACCTGTTTAAGAAGGCATATTGCATCAACAAATATGCTCTGCAAACAGGTATCTTTATCTATTTTAACTTAAAAATATATTGATTATATTTCATTTGCTTCTTTTAGGTAAATAGTTCTCTACCACGGTCTTACTTCCTGGAAGGTTGTCAAAAAGTCATTGATGCTGAATGGCATGATAGCATAACACATACGCCAGGTTTAATGCCAGGAGCAGAACTATCTTTCAAAACCACCTTGGAAAAAGAATTAAAAAAGCGATAAGTATTCATATTAGCACCACTACCACTACCTACTGAGTTGTTCAGAAAAATGTAGAACTGGAAAAAAAATTATATCTAAATTTTATAATTTAAAGTTAAAATACATTTCTTTATTTCTGTTTAGATCGAAAAGGCATCATTGTATGCAACTACAAAAAAAAAAAACAAAAAAAAAAACAAAAAAAAACAATGTATCTAATGATGGTTAAATTTTATTTACTCCAATTCCTGTGTTTTGGGCTCTTAGATCAAAATATAAGGAGATGGTGCAAAGATTTCGAGAAGCAGCAATCTCTTTGTTCTTTCTCAGTGCTTGAGGATAGCCAAAAAGTAATGGGAAGCAGTGGTAAGAATAATAAGATAATAAGTTGAAGATGATAAAATGAGGCAATTCCAATGGTATGATTCATATTAATATAAACATGTTTTATTAGGAAACCACACAATTGCTGTTATCAAGACATCTGAGGATTATGAGTGTCTTGAAACAGGCCTTTCTAATCTTACGAAGGAAGTAAACTCATTAGTTAAGGAAGGGTCCATCCTCATTGGCAACAACAATGTCAAACTTGAATTCTTTCTTGGTGGGGATTATAAGGTATGTCACTAAGAATGCTTATATGATACAATGCTTATATGACATCACTGTAAAGGAAGGCTTATCAGCCCCGCCCACGAACACTTTATTTTTGTATCTATTATTAGTTACGTCATATCCTTAACGTTTCACTTAGTTACAAC